TGAGAAACTGGGCGTCATGTGTTCTTTAATTTGTATTTCATGTGTTTCACACACACACACATGTATCCCGATTGTGTGCCAAACAAATCATGGTACAACAATATTTATTATTATAAAAAATGTCCATGTTTTGCCCAAGGGGGCGATACTGCTAGACTACCAAGGCACAAACAGGTTAATAATTTTTTTTAGGAGGGGGGGGGGTAGGGAATTCACAAACGCCGGGTCCTTCAGTTAACCAAAGCCTGACCGGCACAACAGCAAGGCGGTGTGTGAGAACCGCACTTCCTTTGAGGGCCGGTGTTCAGTTCATTGGGTCATACGCCCTTTGGACGGGGTCAAATGTCCAACGTGCCCAATCGAGTCGGTGACCACGACCCCTCTAAGGTTCGTGTTCGTGTTTGTGTTTCGTGTATCTCTTTGTGGTTGGTCTGGAATCAGGGCATTGAACTAACTCCTCTAGGTGAACTATCAGCGGTTCACCAATTCTGTTATGGTCCTCAGGTTTTGGCTTTTCGTCCTCTCACTTTGGTGAATAGAAGCAGTCATCGGAAGACAGTACGCAGGAGGGCTTCCTGAGCAGAAGCTATTTGAGATGCTTTCTTGTATGGGCACATTTCGTGAGTTGCAAAAAAAGGGAATTGATGAACCACAACCCAAACCGCTCATCCCTGACTGGGCAACTCGTGAGAATACTTACTGTTCATGTGTGAATTTGCATGTTGAATTGCCTGTCATCGGGGTTTACACCGATCCCACATGCTTTTTGAATTGTTTTCACAACGCATGAATCGTAACCTATTTTTTTCATTTCTGTTTCTCCCCGGATAGCCGCTGCCAGTATCTCCTGGATTGCTGCGGTCATCATCGCCATTGTGGTCATAATCGCTATCGGTGCACTGACCGCGTGCATCGTGATGCGTACTCGTGGAGAGACATATATGTGTAAGTTTGAACGGTTTTTTTCCCCCTGTTTCTGTGTGTACAAGCGACGTTCACTGTTCTGTGGAGCTGTTGTGCACCATTTCTGTCACGTCCACTTTTGATTCGCAGTTGCTTTCATATGTGTCTGTTCGGTCGCTGGTGCGTGGTGAGTTTTTGCATCTGATTATTACTCCTTACAACTGCGGGCTGTCTGCGCAATATTATCACGTTTCTCTCTCTCTCTCTCTCTGTGTGTGTGTGTGGCATAACTAACAATCGGGCTGTTTATTACGTTCCCTGCTCTGTTGCTTTCAGTTTCACGGTTGTACGATCGATGCAATTTAATTGCTGCTGTCCTATTTGCTTGCAAAAGTCGTGAAGTTCCTGCCATAGTTTTCAACTATGCGGGGGGGGGGGA